CTCACACCTAAAATAAAAAGAAAAAAGACCTAGCCTAATCAGACAAGATAAAAGCGAAAAGAGAAAGAGAGAGCTACGTTAAAACAAAGAAAAGAGCTATATCGAAAAGATGGAAGGTCGATCAAGATAAGAAGGAAGGTCATAGAGAACCGTTATAAAGACAATTAGCAGCCTTATAGGAAAAGATTGATGTAAGATCAGGACAGAGAGCATCATACAGCTATATGAGTCAGTACGTACCTACATTGACCCAGTATCTCTCACAGATGAAAGAAAGCAATCAGACTCTTCCGTATCCCATACACCCATACCACCATACCGCCTACTTCACTGAGTAGATAGTTAAGAAAGAGAGTTTAAGGTGATAACATATCAAATTTTATATGTAAGGCGTTAGCTTCCCTCGCTTCGCTCGATATGAAAACCCCGGTAACCTGGTATTGGTAGTAGCATCAGTCTCTTTCCCCTCCCTCTGTATGAGTTGAGAGGCTGAAGGGAAGTCTACTAACTATAGGGCAACTCCACCTGACGATTGTTGTCTTCTTTCAATAATGCTTTGTTGGTCACCGCAGCGAGGCATCGCTGATAACATCGCCTGTTGTACAGTTGCTTTAGCCTAGGAGCCAACCTAGCTAAGGTTCACTCCTTTTTCATTTTATTTCCTTGAGAATGAAAAGTCCTCATCCTCACCCGCTGCAAGCACTTTTTCTTTGTTTGTTTGTTCTTTGTGCGAGTGAAGTCCTTCTCTGATTCATAGTGGGACCCGCTGTTCATTAATAGGGCTTCTTCCTTTTCTATCTATTAGGAACTGCTTGTAGAAGAAAGAAGATCAGGCAGTTTACTGCTAAATGGGGCTAGGAACTCCTATCCCTCATAGCCCAAGGAAGGGAAGGGCAGTAGCTTGATTACTTGACTGCCAGTTCCAATGTCACCTCGTTCTATCTATCTTCCATCCGTTACCTTGTTCTTCTTGCCACTGGGGCTTCAACCTTTCCATCATTTCCTGCGATCGAGCTAGCTTAACATCCTTCTTAAATTAAAGCATGATGCTGCTATTCTGCTCGGCGCATTTCTTAGGGATTTTCCCTTCGTCAAGTAAAGGACCAGGTACTTGAGTACAGAGGTCTTACATAGCTCCGTGACCACAGACTGAATCATGAGCTAGGAGGAGTACGAGTGATTAGCAGGAATCTTCGATTGCTCGTTCGCTAAAGTCCTGCTATACGCAATTCAAGCTGCCTGTTGATTCAGTACGTTCCTATCCCGTCATTTGGGGAGTTTGATCAATCTTCCTCACCCCTATAAGCACTCTACCTGGCATCCTTCCTTCTTCGTGAGTTCGTATGAAACTGGTGACTAAGCCTTTTCCTTCTGCCTTTGCTACCGCCGCCTTCTAAAGAATTTAATCCTTAAGCTGGATAGCCTAAAGGTTAGGCTTAGTTAGTTAAGAGTAATCCCCCCTTGCCTTTGTTTGAGAGCAGTCCAATACCAGTTGATTCATTAGCAATGGTAGCAGGAAAAAATCCACTATGCTTTGAGCCAGTTATTCATTCGTTAAGGCTTTTTGCCGGCTCAGATGCTAAGATAGGAAGCACTTCTTTTCCATCGGGTGTGACTTAACTACCTTCCCAGAACCCAGAGCATAGCCTTAGACTGATTTGATTCGTCTACCCTTCGTGCCTTCCCTTCTCTTCTTGCCTGGGATAAGTTGAATCTAGCTAATTCGATTTGATCCGATCATCTCTTTCAATCACTGAACACCAACCAAAAGAGGCACTCGCGGCACTAAAACTATATTAAACCTTCTACGCCGCCTCCCATCTCAGGAGGACTTGCTTCTTAGTGCTCCGTTGGACGGGGACTCCTTCTTCGTTTGAATGCTTTGATGCTGTTAATTTCGCCATGATCTACTATTTATAGACAGACGATAGCACCGAAGAAAACCGAGTAAGGTCGACTAAAGAGTATTGACTCTATTACTGCCAAGGAATAGAGGGATTTTTCAACCGGGAGCTGATACGCCCTTCATTGCTAGTAGTGCACTCAATTCGCCAAGGAGCGGGGGAAGAAGAGCTTATTCTTATTCAATACTAGCTGTCCCAGCCTATCCATCTCAGTTGGCAAGTCACATCCCGTGCTTGGGTACGAAAGTAGGCGAACTGATTAATAGATATTCTTCGGATTTGCTGCCTCTACGCCCCTTCTGTTCTTCAGGAAACCTATTTTAGTTCTTCCTACCACCGGGAAGGTTGGATATCTAAAATAGTGCATCTCCTATTATGATTATGATTTGGGATCGGGTAAAGTTAAATATCTTATCACTCTGAATCAGGCCTTTTTTTAATATGGATATCTTTCGATGAGCTCAGATTTAGACATCGCTCTGAGTTTTGACCCCTAGACTGGAACCTAAGTAGCTCATGGTTGAGAAAACCGGTCCTATCTTGAGGAAGCAGGATAGGAAGATGCCCGAAGTGAGATAAACAGCCTAGCAAACTCTTTCTATCTAAGAGCCTTTCTCTCCGCTTTTTCTTGAGTGGAGTATGTATGCTTAAAACACAGGATTTGAATCGGGTTTTGGGCGAGACTGCACCATCAAGATCAAAATTGGGGTCATCACCTCTGTAGTGTTGTGAGCTAGGTCTCTGGAGTCACTCTGCCTGGATACTCCTCAAGGCCTCAGTTGATTGGCAAGCTGGCTGACCGTTCCCTCTCTACCTGCTTTATCTCGAGAGCATGGAGCTTTCGGTCTTAGTTTCCTCATCTCCTTCTCCCTTATCCTTCCGCCACTGGCTCAACGAATTCTAGTAATTTGTTCTAACCCAAGTGTGGACTCGTTCCTAACGCCATAACAATTATATTCCTTTCTTTCTCCTCGTACAAGCAATCTACCCCTATGTCTGTCTGTACAAATGGCCCTAATATTGCGTTCTAAGCGCCAATCTCGATTCTCCTCGCAGTTCTCCCTTTAACCTCTAATCAAAAGTCTAGCTGTCTGCCTCTTTGTCGTACTAGGGGCTATATTCTTACCATAAATAAATCTTATTTTCATAAATCAGTCTCATGTCTCCATCTATCTCCTCGTAGTGTCCTTTCTACCCTCAAACCTAAGGCTCGGTCAGTTCACCTCTTAGTAGGACTTGTGATTGGGCAAGTAAGGTCTAATAGCCGCTACTGGAAGTTCTTTGTCCTTTCAGCAAGTCTCCGGTCAAAAAAAGTCCCAATGGGCTCTATCTCACCACCTCCTCCCTCCCTACTGCCAGTCGCGTAGGAGTAGTCTGGGAACCTTCAAAAACCTTCCCCTCCAGTCCATCCTACCGTTACTCATTTCCCTAAAATGTTCAGATTCCACCTCTGTCACTGCGTACGTTTCCAATTTATTGGCACTGGTTGGTCTCCTGCTATATCTGCTTCCTTTAGTCTTCGCCTTTAGATAAGATAACAAAAAGTGTCCGTTTATTTAGGCATCTTAACTATTCAAAAGCTTCCTTCTCCTTGCTATGGTTACGACAATCTTAGGGGTCAAGCTTCACGGCGTACGTCCGTCTAATCCATGTATGTCTAACGCCATTTGCTGCTCCAAGTAGGGGGGCAAAGCAAGTCCTATGGTTAGTGGCTTAGGGGCATTCTTTTTTTCATAATTGGGCTTAATAAACTTTAACAAACTTCCAGATCTGTTACGCGATTGCTGTTCAGCCGGGCCGGAACTCTTGGTCCGAGGAAGGGGCCGACTTTCTTCTCGCTCCTCTCCTTTCAGTCGAGTGGCTATCGCTCCTCTTTTGGCTTAAGAAAGATGGGGTGAGAATGAGGATCACTTCGGAACTCTAGGAAAATGGGCGTTTTAGGGCGGGATCTAAAAGTTCTCGTGTTGGTTGCGGAGCCTTCAAAAAGGCCGTGAGAGGGTCTTTTTTTGGCTTCCTCAGGGCCGTGTGAAGCTTAGCTTGCTTTAGCAGCCACGTGATGATTCAAGATTCGTGGTAGGCATAGGAGCTGGGCGAGGCGGTAGCGAAGCTCAGGTGGTGAGGCAAGTGCGCGGTGAGCGTAGTAGCCCCTCGGGCATGCTCTTTGTACAACCAAGCGAAGAGCTAGTGAGGGCCGGAATGGAATATCGTATGTAGTGTAGAATCGGATCTGAAGCTCTTTACTAGGATTGGAACAAGCGAGGAACGAGTGACCACAAGCTCCGGCGCTCGACATGCAGTTAGCTTAAAACATGTTCATCATGTGCAAAGAAAGAGGAAAGGGGCGAAGCGCACCTGCGTGAAGCAGCCTAGCATCACTTTAGATAGGAGCAGAATGGATGACTGACAACTGAAAGTTCTTCGAATCGATATCTCGTACGACGTAATGGAGATCTTGGTCTAGGTCCGGTGGTTCGCAGAATTCGGGACCTAACGATGTTCGATTCGTCACATGAACGGGAGCGGACGATTCCCTCGTCTCTCCCGTTCATGTTTCGGGGAATGGCTGCAATCACAAGCAAGTGATTGAATGATTGGGGGGCTCCGAAAGCACATGCGGGATAAGCAGGTCTTTCAGGAGACGGTCTAAGGGTCCGGTCTAGAAAGAAAAGAGAACTCTCAACAAGCTGGAACTAATCAAGATCAATAGGAAGAGGAGTTAGCTATAAATGAATTTTTTGACAAAGTTCATGCCATGACGATCTATACTATATGGAAGGGCTTGTTGATGCATTCCTGTTGAAGTTGAAAAAGAGACAAACATGAGTCTTTCATTCCTCCTCCCGGATCTGCTTGGATTATCTTATAATAAAATAAGAGGAGTTAGCTATTCTTAGGAAATGACTGAACTTAAAAGAAAGATGCCACCCCCTTTCATTAGGAGGCGAGGGAGTAACTTGTCTGATCTTGCGGTGCACTCACTCCCGTTACGAGAATGAAATGACGCCCCAGCTCGACTCGAGACCAAGACTCCTTACAACTCGCACCAATAGTGAGCGGCCGGAGATTGATTGAAAAGGCAGCCGCCCCTCCCCCCTAGCCGCCTACCTACTCGTGCTCGTAGCTCGATCGGAGGTGAAGACTTTTGTCCGGCGGAAAAAGAGAAGTCGTCCGTCTCAAGTGATACGTTAATTGCTCAGTAGTGCTTCGCCACTACCGTAGCTGGCGGAAATAGCTTAATGGTAGAGCATAGCCTTGCCAAGGCTGAGGTTGAGGGTTCAAGTCCCTCCTTCCGCTCTTGGCTTCGTCGTTTAGTGGTAACGAGTAGAGTAGGCATCGCCTCTCGATCCAATCTGTCTTTCCCTGGCCTCCCCAACACACTCTTGATACGAAAGAAACCTCCCGCCAATCGGAATCGGATTCGGAAAGAGAAAAAAGAGATCTAAAGTCTGGGCATCATCCCCTCGATCACCCTTCCCTTGAACCGGAACTGGTTGAGAGAGATGAACCCGCACCACATTTTATAACCTTCGAACCGAAAGCCCCAACTAGAGATGGAATTCCATAACCTAAAAAAGTAAATTGAGAGCTCCCGGTTCAATTCAAGGGAAGGTCCACCAATAATGGAAAGGCCATTCCCCTCCCTATCCCTTTCTTGATCCCTCATTCCACGAATTAGTTTTTACTGATTCATTCAAGGACTGAAAGCTTTTCGTTTTATGAAAAGGCATAGACTCCCCACTTCTTTGTCTTATTAGCGCAGGTGTTCGTCAACGATGAAAGCCGCTGAACTTAAGATAAGACTCGAGTTGAGAAAGAGGGCTAGGCCAAGGATAGGAGGGCTTTCAGGGACTAGGGAGGGTGGATTATAGAGCTAGGGGCGGATCAGAGGTTTGTCCATTGGGATTGGGCATGGACGAGCCTCGACTGGGCCAGCATTGATGAAAAAAAAAACTTCTCCCATCGCATCATTAACCGGTGTAGGATTAAAGATCAGGTCCAGGATTCGAGTCAAATCGACCTTCCCTCTCATCTCAGGGTGAGGCAAGGTAGCTTGCTCAAATGTTCGTTGTTCAATATCTCGGCTGCTCAATTGGACTAGCTGCTCCCATTCCTCAAATAAACGACGGAGTGGACTCCCTTCTAGGGGAAGGGCAGAGCCTCACCTTGCAGTAGGAAGGTTTTCGTTGCTGGGGCGGGTTCAGAAGGGAGGAGGAATGAAAGACTCCGATCTTACTGGGGATTCATCACTGGCTAGGGCTTTCTAATCAAAGCATGGGCATCTGCAACTAAGAGGGAACAGTAGATCGTCGATGGAAGAGCCAGGTCAGTCAACTTCTATTGGGACTTCTATTGATTATTGATTCGACTAGAGGGACTCCTAGCAAGAAACTTGTATGACGGGGCCCCATGGAGACGCAGGAGATGCAGGAGTGAGATAAACAGCCGGATCGACCAAAAAATGATAGGCCAGAGGGATGGACTCATTCGACTAATTAGTGATCCCTGGCCCTACCTAACAAAGAGATGTCCCTAAAAAAATAAGAGGGGATTGGTTGATCGGAAAGCTCGGGCAGGAGTAGGACATTCCATAAAAATCTTTCTGATCCGCTAGCTCTCACTCCTTGCCCTATTCGGTCAAGCAGCTTAACTCCTCTCACTATTTTTTCATCGACAGGTAGGGTGAATTCTAAGGTTCCTTATTCCGGTTCCGGTTGTAAAGCGGAACCGGAAGAAGGGGGAGAAAGAATGGGCACAGCCCCACCAGCAGCCCGCGTTTTCGACCCGAAAGGAATTGAAAATGAAACAAGAATCTGTGTTCACTATCTATGGAGCGGAGTGACTATCCTGAATCTCCTCTTCCCTATCTCCCCCTTGCCTTTTTTTCTTTTTCTCGCCGGCAGGTAGTTGACTTGCTTACTTGTTAGAGTAAGGAGAATCCATTTATTTATTTCTGATTGATCTGTAGTTCAAGGGCACTCTTCCTAATCCGAGTTTAAGATGGAATAAGACCCAGACGTAGAGTCCCGTCGGCCGGTAAGGGATTTTTTCTATTGATTTTTGATTCCCTTCAGTCCTTACCTTTAAATAAGGGATTCTTCTCTTTCCCCACGAGGTCTTCAAGCCAGATGGAGTAGTGCATCTCTGTCTTGAAAGCCCGCCCTACAGATAGGAGTTCCTATCTCTACTGCCTATCCAACCCGAAGATTCTTATTCGTGGTGGAGTGCTTCGAGTAGGATCCGACCCCATCCCAGCAGTCAAAGTCCTTCCTGACCCGGCTCACCTGCCTCTGAAGCTTGAATGCCTTTATAGAGGAGGCTACCCGAGGAATCGATAAGTTTGAAGTGGGATGTGGAATGTGATTGGTGATGGATGGTGGTTATTAAATAAGTTCTGCATCAGATGATGAGCCCGTGCGAAAACTTTTTCTTTTATTGGCGCCCGATAGGTAGGCTATTCGATTGAGTCGAAAGCCTACCAACGCACGCATAAAGGTTCCGCGATTCGAGCGAGAGCCCAAACGGGGGAGGCGAGAACATCTTGATCGAAAGCTCCACTTTTCTGAATAATGAGAAAGAAAAAAATTCGATAAAATCGATCGAGAATCTTATCATCTGTTAGGTAGGCCAACCGACCTAGTTTTGTTGGGCTGGGCGTCCATGTCACAGAACCTTTCTTCTAGCCAAGAATCCCATTATTGATCGAATCGGGGCGGATCTTCCTCTCGCAAGCCTTTGGATTCACCATCCTAACGAGCTCTTTTTTTTTTTCCATACAATAGCTAGTCTAGTAAAGCATTAGATGGTTCCCCAAGGGCTCAGCCTTTGATTACAAGTATAGCTTAGCTCATAGCCTCCTTACCAATGTGAGGAGGCAAGGCGATAAAGCGTGACCGTTCGGAAACCTCTAAGTGGGCCTTCCTACTTTACATCATTAAATACAAAGGCAAGGTAGAATAGCATCAGTCAAGCTCTCACAGCAGGAACGGTGCCGATTCCCATTCTCATTCCTTAGAAGCCAGAGCCCCCCTGACAACTGTCTTTGAGTCCGTTCACTCCTCACTCTACTAAGACAGGGTAAGTGATTATGGATATCCTACTTCCGGTGGGGAGACCGTAGATTGAACTGAAACCCACACTCTTTCTTGTGTGTAATGAGTAGCTACTAGTTAGAATGAATTCTTCTCGGTCTTTCAGACCAACTCCTTTTATAAGCTCTTCTTAAACCATAGGGCAGTTTTGGAACCCTAACTAACTAATTGCTTTTGTTCCGCCTTCTCCACTTGACTCCACTGGTCGATAACTCTACAGCTTCATCCGAGATCCTTCCCAAATGAACATCCTAGCCCAGTAACAATATCTTATCTTCCCTGTTGAAAGCCTAGAAAATCGGATCAATTGATAAATAGAAATTTATGAAGACGATTTTCCTCATCTTTCTATCGTTGTGCTGTTCTACCCACTGCTTATCGATAATGAATAACTTTAATTTAGTTTTTGGTAGGGCTTTTCCCCATTGCCATCCCTTTTTCCAATTCCCTACTTATTATTTATATACTCATATAAGACTTCTATTCAGACATGATGGATATTGAAACCAGCAACTTCTTAGGAGAGTAGCTAGACTGAGTTCCACTTCTATACTCCAGTTTACCGAGGGCTAATGGCTGGCTTCTTTGTCTAGTCGCAACTTTCAAACTTAGCCTAGCCGATTGGCTTTGTTTTGTTCCTGATTACTGCCCTAAAATAAAATCAAACTTTCGTTCAGTGACATCACAAGGGTTGGTTTGAACGCTTAGGGCAATTGGTAGGGGTCATCCGATTCCGAATCCGCGCAAGAGCGCTTCTTCTTTTGGTCCCTATGGCTGGTAGGGGTAGCATTGACTATGTTCATGAGCCAATCCTTTCTTTGGTTCTTTATAGCTGATAATCAGTATAAACTCAGGGGGTATGAGTGCATGATTCTTTCTCTTCTTCCACAAGCTTAGAGAAAGAGACCGAAGGAGGATATGAGAAATCCGCGGATTCCCTAAAGCTAGAGCAGCTACTTCCTTAGAACTGCTCCGAGATGGTATTCAAGAAAAGCTCACTAGCAGAAAAAGGGTTTTGAAGAAGCCGACATTGAATTTACTACCTAAACTGCCTTTCTTTCAAGATCAAGATACTACTACTACTCCTATGATTTCATTACAGGGAAAGGAAGTTAAACCTCTCAAACTCGGAAAATAAAAATCGAATCTTTCTTGACCAGGAGCAATAGACCCCGAAAGGTGTGAAGTTAGTGCCTCCGCTTCTGAAAGAGCTGCGGTTATAAAAATTCCAATTGAGTTTTGATTCGCTGCATCAATGAATGTGCTTGCAGAGTGGGGAACTATAAGCATAACAACTCTTGAAAAAGAAAGGAAAGAACTACTCTTGATGCCGAAAATCCCATCTTTTTTTGTAATTAAAGTGAACCTATAACTTTCTACCTTAGTGCCGCTGTTGGAACTGCAGATTCTTTATGACTGGACGGGTACGACCTCTTGCTTCTCAATGTCATGGAATGGATAGGTGATGTTTCCAACCGGAAAAGACGATAAATCAAAAATTATAAAAATAAGAGCGGGTGAAGGAGTTAAGTTAGAGATCTCTTTCTAGACCTTGAAGTCACTTCCGGGATTAGCTTGATTTGGGCTAGGAAATCTTTTTATTTGTAGCATATAAAGTGAACCCTAGACTCTTATGGTTAGTTTATTCCGCATCCTCACCATCTAATTAAAACTCATTACCGACTGCTGCAACCTTTGCCGGGAAAGAAGAAGGAATTTAATCCAAACCCCTAACTCGATAAAAATTCTTCATCTGCACCTGAGACAAGTAAAGGATATCCCACTCCGGTAAGCTAGCAAATAATATAGAAGATTCTAATTTGATAAAGTTATTTAAAAAACTAATAAAGTTCTCTTCGATTCGAGTCGAGTGCATAAGCCGCTTTCCCTTTAGGAATCTTGTCTCAAGCCATTGATCTTAGCTTTGGCCCTATATGGAAAGGAAAATCTTTAAGCTTCCCTCTTTTTTCTGCCTCTCCAGTTCAACAAAAGGATTCTTTCTTCTGGTTTACCAAGATCTTAGTAATTTCACCTCTGTACTTTGATTAAGAGTTCAAAAGGCAAGGATTAGGATTTTTTTTTATATGTGAATAGGTCCCTTAAACTAACCTATCCATGGGATAAACCCTCTTAGTTTATTTCCTAAAGTAGTCCTTCTTGAAAGAAAAGATTTTTGAGTTCTTTCACTCCCGGCTGTTTTGTCTTATTCGTTGATCAGTTTTCTTCCTTCCTCGGAAAAAAAAGACCTAAGGTC